TGTATGCATCTGATTCTTCATTTGTTCTGTATTCTTTGATGAGAATGAGTTTCGTTAATGATGATCACTCTCACAGATTTTTTGATAAGAGGATAGGACTTTAACTGGAGAATAGTTATGAAAAATATATATATAAGTATAGGCTGTCTGTGCACATGTGGTGAAACTGATACCTCATTGATTTGCTAATCGGGACTTGGAAATCATAGTCTGTCATTAAATTGATTTTAAAATATATGGTTTTGACTGTAGTACGTCCTGACATCATAATATTATGTTGTAAACAACTTATCTTATCTTATGATAAGTAAAACAATTATTGATAACTTCCTGAATTCCAATTGTTCAATGAACAGAATTATTCACAGCTCTGGCGTGAGACAACAATAAATTAGATGTTACCAAAGATTGTCCATGTTATGATCTTAGGCACATGTCGGCGCACTTATATGTGAGCCGTCTAGACGACTGTCTGTTTTGTAAATAAATGGCAGCTGCCATCCAGCCGAATACTTAATTTTTGAGACCTATAAGTGTCTTGTCGAGTCAATATCTCTCTCTACATATCACTAATTAGATCAAAACTAGACTACGGCTGCGCCATATACAACACCCTAAACAACTCTCTACCTAAAAAACTTGACTCAATACAATATCAGGCTTTCAAACTAATTACACGCACCCAACATGGCACCTCCCACACCTCACTTCAGGCCTTAACAGGAGAAATGCCACTAAGTCTACGCTGGGAACAGCTAAGTTTTAAATTTCTGGGCCGCGTCCCAATCAAACCCTCTCATCCAAAACTTAATAAACAAAAACATCAGCCCCCAAAAACCAAACTCTAGCTCGTAAACACCCCTTACTTACCCCAATATCCCAAAGAATAACAAACTACCTAAATGAACACCAAATTAAAAATCTTAAACAAAACTGCAAACAATCAAATATCTTCACCCCTATACTTAAAATACCCAAAATAGACACAACACTAGCTAGCCAAATAAATAAACAAACCGACCCAAACATAGCTAAAACTACCACACTAGCATACATACACGAAAATTGGCCAAATTGGTGTCACATTTACACGGACGGATCCTCAGATCTGACCTCCAAACACACAGGTTTCGGAGTCCATACCACACAACCAACTAAAACCACACAATCCTTCCGACTCCCAAACAACCAATCAATATTCACGGCAGAACTAATGGGCATGGCCTCAGCCCTCCATAATCAAAAACCACAAAAAAATCCTAATACTTACCGACTCCCTAAGTGGACTGCAAGCCCTCCAAAACAAAAATACCAAAAACCGACCTAAATTAATAAATCAAATACTTAAAAGCTCCAACGACCTAACTAAGGCAGGCAAACAAATAACCTTCTTGTGGATACCCGCCCACGTAGGAATATACGGTAATGAAAACGCCGATAAAGCAGCTAAACTATCCCTCAAAATCCCGGAAATAAGCTTAAACTTACCCATCTCAAAATCAGAAATTAAAAGTGTAAACAAGCAAAAAATCACAAAAAATAGCATAGCCTATATCTAAACTCAAATAGCCAAATCAAAAAAGTGCTCAGCAAACCACTAACCAAACCAAAACTTCTCCATCCATCAAAAAAAATCGACAGAGTAATCACTAAACTCCAAACAGGACACACCGACCTAAATAACCACCTAAAAAAATAAAAAAACACACTACAGGTTACTGCCCACACTGCAAACAACCAGAAACCCCAGAACACGCACTCATCCACTGCACACACTACCTAACACATCGAACCGCATTACAAACCACCCTCAATCTAAACAAGGCTCTCACTCTAGAAGCAATACTTAACCCACAAAATAAACTAGAAAACTTCAAGGCCTTAGGCGTTTTCTTAATCAAAACGGAACTAATAAAACGCATCTAAAAACACAATAACCTACCAAATCAAAATCACATAAACAAACAAACATCCACCATACCCAGCTCCCTTAGTTCTCCTCCCAAACTCCATCGGCATCTATTCCAAATCTCAAAATTCACAAATTCTATATAAGCAACCCCTAATCCCCCAGTCTACTCTGTTCCAGATATGTTTATTCATTTTGTCAGCATTTAAATCGTTGCATTCCTGGCTCAATGATTCATTTGACGAAATCTTGTTCCCTGTTTTGAATTACCGTCAGATAGTTCCAGTCCAATTATAAAATTTCCAGCCCTATGTGTTGCGCATAATTCCGAGATAATTCGAAGTATATTCTTGTACGAACACTTATCAAAATTCATTTATACCTAGTACTATTATGTACATATGTATATTAGTTCAAATTATAATAATGAGGCCCTCTATATTCTCGAAACGGTCTTTGTTCTATGACAACCGTAAGTCGGTATGGGAAAACAAAATATTTGTTTAATTGTTCAAAGTTCATAGTCAATGTCATATGATTATAGACAAGGAAGATAGGAAATTAAATATAAAGAGTAGCCACTTTAAATGACAGAAATTCTTTTAGTTAAATTTGCTCATGATTTGGTCTTTTCGTGGTACATAGTGCCAAAATACTCTTAATTATTTACTTTCATGTCATTACTAATCTCACATAAGGTCAAAAGTTGTACAACGTTTAACATATATGATTATGACATGTTGTATCCAAATATTTCCAAACATTTCCAAACAAATCCAAACAAATCCAAACAAATCCAAGCTTGGAAATATGACCTTGCCAAATATTGGAATGGTCATATTTCCAATTGGAATGGTGGCATTTCCAAGTTTTGGATTTTTTGGAATGGATGATATTTTGTCCAGTGAATGATGCTAGAAGTAAGTATCAACGCATTAATAACTCCTTACTTACAGCTGACGGAACATTCCGAGGAAATTGAAATTGTTTACGAAGTGAGCACTTCCTGGTTACTGATGTGCATTAATAGACATCCGCTAAGAGGCGTGTCCCGCGTGAACTATCGGAAATCACAAATGCCGCGATACGATGAATGCCGCGGTACCACGGGATCCGAGTACTATACATGAAATAGGAATAAAACATATGTACTTTGCGCGCCAGAGGGTAGCATAATGAAAATTAAAAAATAATTTACTTTTTATTTTTCACAGGGTAATGATCTCTTTTCCATGTGATATCATTCTTAAAATCATCGATGTTTAAGACGCATATTTACCAAGAAACTTAAGACACTGCGTGTGACTACAATGTTTCATCCGTCTTCCCGAGGCAAGGGAGTTAACTGACTATAATTGTCCAGTTTCCACCCTTGCCGAACTCTCTGGAATTTCTGGGCTCGATCGATGCGTCACCAGTGGCTATTACGAGTTATGGCTATTCTATATTCCTCCTATTGACCAGTCAGATTCCATTTCTCACCTCACTTGCATTTGCTTCAAATAAAATAACAGCGCCCAGTCGATAATCAAGATCTATATTGTAATAAAACGGGTCTTACCCTGCGAAGTGTATCAACTCACTTGAGCACCTTGATTAAAAACATAAAACAATTTGCAAAATATCTGTCGACGCCCGGTTGGCGGCACACAGGCTTTGCAAATTTTGCAAACGACCGAAATCTGCAGGTTGAAATCAAGATGTTTACGAACCGGATGTCAAGTTCGTTACACGATTTTGATTGGACTATGCATAGTCTCATTAATCCAGCCAAAATGCAACTGCATAGCAGCCTAATACGGCAAGGGTGGAAACTGGACTTTTATAGCCTCGGGAAGATGTGTTTCATCGAACCGCCTCATATATTTAATAGTGCCAAATGATTCACTGCCATGTTTGTCTCCAGAGACCATGCAGGCTTATGGGGAACATCAGAAAATAATATATTGATCAAACAGATATTGCATCGAAGTATGGAGGTTAAAAGTAGTTTCTGTTGGCCGACCACATTTGCATATTTATCGGAAGTTTGTTGGATTGGTTTAGGTGTGCCAGAACCATATGATCGTGGGTTCGAAAACCAGATGTGTTCCTAGGTTTGTCAGCATCATACCCGAGGTCGTTGGGTGAGGTGAGGTGAAATGGGGTTTAACGTCGCGTCCAAGATTATTGCACTTATATAGCGACGTGCATGTACGTGTGTGTGTGTGGCTGCTTGAACTTGTCCGGACTGATGCCGATTTATAGTGCTAGCCCACTGAGATACCATGCCGCAGTTTAACATAAATACCCCACTCAGACACAGTATACTGACTCCGAGCCGACCAGTCCTTGTTTAAGCCCCTTAATGCTGAGCGCCAGACAGGGTAACAACAAGTACCATCTTTTAACGTCTTTTGGTATGACGCGGCCAGGGATTGAACCCCGGACCTTCCGCTCTTCGGGCGGACGCTCTACCACAAGACCACGGAGGCGGTTCGAGGTCGTTGGGTGTATTGCTGACAGCGCAATGGTATATGTGTCCGGCGTGAAACCAGACTAAAGTCCTCGACAATTGAAATAGAATCCTGAAACATCGCGACTATTAATCAATAAAGATAGATGCAAGTGTGCTGATAAGTGCTGATACGTGTGCTGAAGACAATCCACCCCGGAGATAAGGAATATATATTACTCACACAAATGACAAACATTGCAAAGCGTGCTTTTCAAGAAATATCCATTTTGCTTGCAATAAACATCATCATTCAGTTTTGATCACGTGGTAACAATCAGAGTAATAATATGAGTAAGGTGACTATTATCTTCTTTGTTTGTTTGTTTGTTTGTTGTTTAACGCCGCACTCAGCAATATTCCAGTTGTATGACGGCAGTCTGTAAATAATCGAGTCTGGACCAGACAATCCAGTTATTGATACCATGAGCATTGGTTGGGTTGCTGAAGATCTACTCTGACCCGGATCTTCACGGGTAGACTATTATCTACACCATAACGTCATAACCATTATAAAGAAGCTGATTATTACTAGTTGATGTTGATACAAATGCTTGCGCACTGATTAGTAATTGAAGTAATATCTTTTAATTGCAGATAGTACTACTATGAATACGATTTTTCTCTTGGTTTTCACACTGGCCCTGAAAGCCACATCGACCATGAGCAACAACGAAGTTGATGAGAATGAAAGTTGTGACCGTCGCTGTCACTGTTGGCATGACAACAACAACTATGGTAGGGACATGAACATAGCCAACTGTTCAGGCCGGAACATATCTTCACTACAGCATCTCATCCTTCCTACAAACACCAATGTGATCCTTCTGGAATGTAACAACGTCAGTAAATTGGGAAATGACGACTTTACACCATATCATAATCTGACCCATTTAGATTTGGGCACTAACGAGATATCGATTGTGGAAGAGAGAGTGTTTGGACAACTGTACCAACTGGTTTTCCTTAACTTAGAAACAAATCATATTGCTTTACATGTTTTGTGCCAAATACCACAATTATTCCAAGACCTTGTCAGCTTGAAGATTTTGAAATTGAACGGAAATTCCTTTGGAAATGGAAGTACCAGTGTACATTCTGATAAAAAGAAAACCCCGAACATGTACCCTGATGTTTTTCACTGGCTTGTTTCGCTGGAGACCTTATTCATAGACGGAATCACCAACGCAACTTTTGGTTTAGGATTCTCTAACCTCACCAAGTTTACCAGCCTTATAATGTCTGGCGATAATGGACAATGTACCATAGGGAACCTTCATAATACATCCTTTGAACATGTACAATACCTAACATACTTGGATATATCAAACTGTTCTATAACTGACATTGAGGCTGACACGTTTTCACATATGCCAAACATTCAAACCCTGAACATATCCTACAACATGCATCTTGGATTCACAAAATTAGGTCAAGCTTTATACGGCCTTCAGTCATCTAACATTAGCGTCCTGGTAGCGAACAGAATCGCCCAAATGAATCCGAAATGTGTCGTGATCAAACAAGAGGATGTGCAATATCTGAACAACACGTCCCTAATACGACTCTATGTGGATGACAACAGTATCATGAACATCGAGCGAGGCGTGCTGCGTCTCTTGCCAAACACTCTGAGCTTCATCTCTGCACAACGGCATAAACTTGGTTATGGGGCTTACTTCCAGGAACTGAAATATCTCACAGGCTTAAAGTATTTGCACCTCAGTGGAGTGTCTTACCATATAGATGTGCCCATTCGAGATATGTTGGAGGTACAGTTTTCTGATGACGTCATTGGAGATACAGCGGACATGTACAACTCCAACGGGAACGGCATCCATCCAATGTCTTGGGTTTATGAAATACGGCCTTATATATATCCGTATACCACAACGCCTAATTTAGTGTTAACAAATTTAACACTACCCCCAAACCTGATAAAGGTTCATTCGAACTTTACGCAACTAACCAGCACTCTTGCATCAATAAGAATTCAAGCTGAGAGTTTACAACACGTGGATCTATCCAGCAATTTCTTTCAGTTTTATGACGGGTCTTTGACGGGATATGACAATGTAACCTTTTTAGACTTATCCAACAACCTTGCTCGTTGGCTGTCTCCAGATCTGTTTCAACACTGTGTTTCCTTAGAAGTGCTAAATTTATCGTACAACTTCTTCAAATGGGACATATACAATGATACGGGTGGAAAGATTTTCAGAAATCTGTTTCGCTTGAAGCAACTTCACCTCGCATCAAATGGTCTAGAGCAGGTAAGAGGGATGGTATTTCGTAATCTGACATCGCTTGAAATTCTTAATCTATCTAATAATTTGTTGTACAACTTTTCCCCTGAACTGGGACATCTAAAGAAGTTGAAACAGATAGATTGTTCAAACAATCAGATTCACTGGCTTATGTCAGATGTTCGAAGACAAATAAATGCTTTGAAATTAGTCTCCCCGAACCTGACGTTGAACCTGAGTCGGAACCCATTAAGGTGTTCGTGTGGGAATTTAGAGACTTTGAGCTGGCTGCTTGATTCGGGAGTGACCCGCGATGATATGTATGGGTATTATTGTTTGCAGAATGATCGTAAAAGATACATTAAAAATAAAGACGAGTTTCAAGATCTTATAAGCGAACTAGAGAACAAATGCTTCTCAGCTTTAGATGTATCCCTTGGCGCCTCTGCTGGAATCCTTTTCTTCTTCTGTGTCGTGATTGTTGGGTTGGTTCGAAGATACAGGTGGAAGTTACGCTATCTCTTCTACTCTGCCAGACTTAAGTATAAAAGTGACCACAATACTCCAGATGATGGGTACTTCATGCATGATGCTTTTGTCTCCTACGCTGATGAAGACCGTGCATTTGTCGTCAATGACATGCGATGTCACATGGAAGTTAATGATGGAATAAACCTCAACATCCACCAACGTGACTTCATGCCAGGAGAGCCTATTGCTTCAAACATCATTGGCGCCATCAAGAATAGCAGGAGGACTGTGGTGGTTCTGTCCCAGAACTTCCTCAACAGTTACTGGTGCACGTACGAACTGCGCATGGCCCAGATGGAGAGCATCAGTAGTGGGAGGGACATTCTCATCATCATCATGTTCGAACCCGTGCCTGCCAAGAACATCCCGCCCGAAATTTTGAAACTGTTGCATACAGATTCTTACATAGCCTACCCCAGCGATGAGGAAGACAGGGAGGAGTTCTGGAGATGCTTGTGTCAGAGTGTCCGACCACAGTGACGGGACCATCTTACCTCGCATGTATCGAGATGGAATATATGAAGTTTGTATGTGTAACGCTGCATATATATATATATCCTACCATTAAGTCCGGGTATATATCTAATATATATTTATATATTCAAATAGTGTATATAACGAAACCATTCAGTCACTAAATTTACCTTCGGATATATCACAGTCGAATGCGTGTACATATTGTGTATTACGAAGCCATTTGTTATTTATAATTAATCTCGGATTTTACCCAAGACGGATCTTCATATCCTTAGTGGTGTGTGTATAAACATTTCAAATAATTCATTAATATAGAATACTAAACGAGCTCCCGTGTAATACCAATTTTATGAAACGAGTGAATAGTTGTGGTATCTGACGAGCGAAAGCGAGTCAGATACTACAACTATTCACGAGTTTCATAAAATTGGTTTTACACGGGAGCGAGTTTAGTATTTTATTTATTACTTGCCGTTTATAACGTTTTTAGAATTATACTGTTGAGTGTGAATAGGCTGACACCTACACGGTCCACGGCATAGTCCAATTGAGTTTAACAGAAAAATACTTCAAACACGTCAAAAAAAATTTGAAACGTATGAATTTAATACCATACAACGGTACACCTTTAGAATTCAGGCGTCCGTTCCACAAAATTATCGTAGGGCTAATCGCAACTCACATACTTTAACTTAGACTAACGACTGTCGTTGCGCTACAATACGATCGCCTTGTGGAACGGGCTTTGCACCTCAAAGTTTACAATGACGTCACAATACCCGATGACGTAAATTGTGGAATTTTGTTGCAAGGTCCATCGGCGAAACAATGCCATGTGACGTCAGCCTAGCAACAAGGTTGCTGGGGTCATCGAGTGTGCATAAGCTCCTCTCAGTGATCTTTCAACTCCATACGCAATGTCGTTGAATAAGCCAAGGGATGTTGAGAGCTTTCAATATTTGTTCGTGAAACGTGTTCCGAGAGTACATAAGCATGCGTTTTGGTATTACATGTTTGTTTATTAAACGGGTGATCTCTTCATGGGCAAGTAATAATACTGTTTATCATCCAAAACTGGCTTCCACATGATATATCGCTTGGGTGATATCAAGCGATATCTACATTGCAGATATCAATACAATAAAATTGCATCACAATTCTTTGCATACCATTATGACGTCATTGTTACATGAAGTCACAATCAAATGACATCACTAATGGCTCTGCTACTACACTGAAGACACTGCTTATTACTGTCTACAAACTGAAGAAGTTGAATGATGTTGGATGATAAATAAAATCTCATCCTCGCGTCTTTTGATATCAAATATATCAACACTCATTGATATTTTTGATATCAAAAGCCACGAGGGTGAGGTTCTCTATTTATTACCGATAGGGTTAGAAGTAACCGAATTCCAAAACATCGAATGTGCCCTAGTGCTCGTATAATAATCTCTATTTACTTTCACTGCTGGGGAAAGTAGTTGTTATATAAGTGTAATACTGCCGGCGAAACGGTGACAAGTTGCACAGTGGAAATTAATTTCTCCAAAGCAAGGTTATGACTGGTCAGTTGGTCAACTTTTCTATTGTTTGAAGCTACAGTAATTGCAAAGGTGTTTCAGAATAATCTGACAATTTCCTCGAAACATATCTTCCTATACCATTCATTTCCGGTTCGTGCAAAGTAAATCGCCATTATATGTGACTCAGGCCGGCTATGCGTCTACACAGTGAAACCTCGTTAGTCCGTACCCTGTGCTTTCCGAATGGTTACCGTTAGGGATGTCCACAGATCATGTGTACGTACGGAATTAATCAGTGTCAATGATTCGTTAATGCGAAACTTGTTAATCAAAACGCTTTCACTTGACACGGTAACGTAATAACGGAGTTGCACTGTACTTTGATAATAGTACACTTGTCTTCGAGGACGTGCCAGTGCCGAGACCCGTGAAGATCTGGGGTAGAATAGGTCTTCAGCAATCCATGCTTGCCGCGACAGGCGACTATTCTTGTCTTTAGAGGCGACTAACGGGATCGGGTGGTCAGGCTCGCTGATTTGGCTGGAATATGTCATCGTATCCCAATTGCGAAGATCAATACTCATGGTATCAATAACTGGATTATCTGGCCCAGACTCGATTATCGACAGACCGCCGTAATATAGCTGGGATATTGCTGAGTGCGGCGTTAGACAAATAAACAAACAAACAAACAAACAAAAGCAAGTGCCGAGAAATTAGCTTTGCAACAACATATTGATGAATTCGTCTTAACGGAACTAGTTTTACGGAGGTGAACTCAATATTTGTCATGACAAAGAGCTATTTTATAAACATAACACAACATGACGTGTCACCATGGCAAAACAACGTGACATGTGTACAAGACCACACATTGCAAGATCTATCACGGTATCATAAAACCCATACACGCTTACAAGTGCCTATTCTTTATACTATAATGCATCTTTATCCCCAGGTCAGACAACCCTACAACTTTGTATTCACATCGGATCAAGATTAAAAGTGTCGATTAACCACTGTTATCGGCTTTGCTATGACTATGATTGCCATATTTGACAGAAACAATTTCTTCTCTCCTTGATTGATAAATAACTTGATGTTGATGTATATGTGAAAATAAATATGCTTGACGACGATGAATGTGTTCAATGTTTCGTGGAGCAGATGTTCATGACTTAATGGACGAAATATGATACTTGGGAATACATCATCATATCCTTTTGCTATTTTATAAGGAATATCTTGATTATATCTACTTGGCACATACACCCTACTGCACCACATGCTTTCATTGTACACACTCAAGTAATGTAAATAGCTAGAATATTGATAACTGTGGCGTAATTCTGGCCCGAACTTGGGCCGAAATTTACATGTGTGTCCCTGCGTGCGTGCGTGCGTGCGTGCGTGCGTGCGTGCGTGCGTGCGAACCCAACCCCCTGCAAAATTATCTTAGACCAGTTTAAATTAATATTTGAAATGAATAAAACTAGTTCAGTCCTTTATAGATTAAACGTAACTACATAAAAATACATCGGAACTGGCCTAGCAGGTGGATAATATATATATTTTTAGATGCATTTATCTTGTAAATTATGCGACGAACAATCCAGTATATGAAGCTCCTCCCACCCGGGGCCCCGTCGGTCCGGGTAATTGTATTGGGAACCTCATAGGTCAAGGCGAAACGAAAATCATATACAACTCGGCATGTTTCCGACTCATATTGCTCACACGTATTTACCGTGTATCGGGCGTTGCCTCCCGTAGTGTCACGTTCTCCTGACGAGATATGAATGTTCTCACGTCGTATTGGACGACTCGGGACATGCTGTCTCTGGGTGTGTTGGGGAGTGTTCCTATCATTAAATAATGTAAACAGTTCGTTAGTGGGAGAGTATTTAGAATTGCTCATGTCTGGTCATTAAGTAGCCTCCCTCAGCTGACAAAATCACTTGGTAGGAGCTCGATTTCCAGGTCACCCCTCATTAGGACCCGTGTGTGTGTGTGTGTGTGCGTGCGTGTGCGTGCGTGCGTGCGTGCGTGCGTGCGTGCGTGCGTGTGTGTTGGGGGCGTGTGTGTGTGTGCGCGCGCGCGCGTGTGTGTGTGTGTGTGTGTTGGGGCGTGTGTGTGCGTACGTGCGTGCGTGTGTGTTGGGGGCGTGTGTGTGTGTTGGGGGCGTGTGTGTATATGTATGGTGTGTATGTGTGTACGTGCGTGTGTTGGGAGCGTGTGTGTGTGTGTGTGTGTGTGTGTGTGTGTGTGTATGTGTGTGTGCGTGCGTGCGTGCGTGCGTGCGTGCGTGCGTGCGTGTCTTGTGTGTGTTGGGGGCGTGTGTATATATGCATGGTGTATGTGTGTGTGTGTGTGTGTGTGTGTGTGTGTGTGTGTGTGTGTGTGTGTGTGTGTTTCTGACGAATATCGCCACTCCCCTAAAGCCTCTGTGACCCTGGGGATAACCCACAGAACATTTAGTAAACACTGCAAATTGGTCGTTATAGCAAAGAAATCCTGTTGTGATTTTAACAGCACATCGAGAAATGGTTTCACCACACATGTCATAGTCTTACGGTTGCAACCTTATTGGCGTAAGTGGACACAGCGGTTGTTTGTTTTGTGAAACGGTCGTATTAAACTTCAGACGAAGGTAACCTTAAACCTTATTGGTTAAAGTTAACTATAGCAAAGGTTCTTTTGTGTAATGTGGCCTTGTTGTCTACAAATAGTTCATGTGCAATCATTCCAAGAATGGTTCATATTAGGGCTGGGACGGGTAACTCGGGTACTCGGGTCAGGTGGGTACTGAGAAGGACCCGGGTACTCACAGGACTACCTGGACCCGTGGTTAGTCACGCGATTATATTGTTTAATGGCAAAAATTATCTAGAACTCTATGGTTACACTGTAAGTGACAAATGTTCACATTTCTTTTCGACTATGCACACATTCCTTCTGACTTTATATATTTGCATAAAGATAAAACTCCAGTCAACTTCAGTGTATGCATGACCAGATCATTTTATACGTGTATCTAAATACAATTTGACAGGAGAACGGTCAAACGTTTCTAAATCGGACATTTTGTACCTATCTCTTGAGACCTACAGCGGGTACCCGGGTAGGGTCAGGTAATAGTGGGGTGGGTACCCGGGTAGTAAATTTGAACTCGTCCCAGCCCTAGTTCATATGATGAACAAACAAAAAATAGAGCCGTTTTTCCTACTTCAGTCTGAAGTAACCGATGTTCAAGAGTCTCCGCTAGTGTTACAAGAGTTATTTCCCTTCTACCATAGACCGCCGCTGAAGTTAAGGAAACACTCATAAAATCTCAAGAAGGGCCCACAAAGTGGATACACGTATCATTAACACTCTGACCAAATATATAGTTATATTCCATGTATTGTCAATAGGTTAGGATAAGGGATGCTACAGAAAGGATAAGGGATGCTACAGAAACTCATTTTTACATGGGATATACCTAGCATTAGAATTAATTTGAAAAAAGAGGGAAATGCTGAAAACATCAATCTATTTAAACTGCCGTTCAGGCAAAAAGAAAGCATAAACCCATGTTTGAAGGTATCTAAAAATGATACAAACAAGAAATGAAATTCGATGGTGATGTATTCGATACAGGTTCATAGTTGTGTTTTGGACCTTAAGTTTGCATTGTTTCGGCGACTGTTTTCAGCAAAGTAACGTGTTGATAACGTTCGTAATTTTGAGGTCACTTTCACTCTTTAAGTGTTTACCTTTTTTTTGCCCGGCAAAACCCAAACTCATGTTTGTGTCACACAAGCTGCAAACCGAAATGGGCCCGTGAAGATCCGGGGTAGAATAGGTCTTCAGCCACCAATGCTTGCCGTACAAGGCGAATATGCTTGTCGAAGAGGCGACCTCCGGGATCGGGTGGTCAGGTTCGCTGACTTGGTTGATGCATATCATCGTATCCCAATTGCGTGGATCGATGCTCTTAATGTCAATCACGGGATTGTCTGGTCCAAACTCGATTACTTTCAGACCGCCGTCACATAGTTGGAATATTGCTGAGTGTGGCGTTAAACAACAAACAAACAAACAAACCGAAATGTATTGACAATGGTGGGAAATCTTGAGACTTAACCAAATATTACCTCCAGACTTGCCAATGGCATGGCCCAATTAATGATATACATATGTATGTCAGGTCAGGGCAGGGCTTCACTGACGTGCATTTTCGTCGTTTATGTAACAGTTTCCATTTTGCCTGTAGCCTGACAGTAATTGAGAAGCATTTCAAGCATCATTAACGCTAATAATTGTCTTCAGACCAAAACCTCCGTGATTCCATTGGCAGAATAAGCTCTCATCTTGTTCGTTTTGTTTGTTTGTTTGTTGTTAAACGCAGCACTCAGCAATATTCCAGCTATATTCCAGCTATATGGCGGCGGTCTGTGATTGGGATACGATGGCATACATCAACCAAGTCAGCGAACCTGACCACCCGATCCCGTTAGTCGCCTCTTACGACAAGCATAGTCGCCTTTTACGGCAAGCATGGGTTGCTGAAGACCTATTCTACCCCGGATCTTTCATCTTGATATAAGCGCATACTTTGTTATTATGAATGCATACCAATATGTTATTAGCGCATGTCATTTTGTTGATCCTCAGGAGGCAACATCGTGTGACTTAGCTGATTACTCATATTGAGACAACACGTCGTTTAGGAAGATTGGAAAACAAAACACAAAACTGAATATTTTGATTGTATTGATTCATAACATTTGATATGACAGTAAAACAGTAAAAATAACTGTCCATGAGACACTACACATTCATGAGAAACATTACTGGAAAATTCTTGATGAAACAGAAATTTACACACTTTCAGTAAGGGTTTTATTGATTAGACAGACGAGGACTGACATTTGTATTGCAACATTATAATTTAAAATTGAGAACTTTAATGAAAAGTAGTTGAAAATCGTTTGAAATAGTCGTGTTTTAAAGCAACTTTTGCTGTGATTCGAGACAAAGGATTTAAATCTAGACACTTCTTAATAAGCAACATTAGCTTTCTGTCCGGACTATGAACACCAGATACGTCAGGCTCACTGCGGTCTGGTCCTATAAAGTGTGGCGTCTTCCCCGTCAGAGTTTCATATACAGACGCCCCAAACCTCCATACATCAAATGACTTGATAATATCATCTTGAACATCCCCTGCCTCGTTCTGTGGATACAAGCTGTTCGTGCCAAGTCTGGTCGCATCGCCAAAGTTTATAATTTTGACCTTTCCACTCTGTCCAATGAGAATATGGGATGGTGTTATGTCCTGATGGGCTACGTTATTTTGATGGAGATATTGAAGAACGTCCAGGACTTGTTTCATGATTTTCTTGATCGAACTTTGTCTCCGAGCCACACACACCCTGGCCATGAATTCCGCCAAATTGCATCCGCCGACATACTCGAGTATCAAGACCTGGCGCCCATTGTGTTCAAAGAGGTCGTAGGCCTTGATGATGTTTTTGTGTTGGACCTGATTGAGTATGCTGTATTCATTGGTCCATACTTTTGATGCCTCGTCCGGCTCGGTGTTTCTTGGGTGTGACACTTTCGCTGCAAACACCTTGCCATCCTTGAACACACTGTATACAGTAGCTGAACCACCTGAGCTCATGACTCCCCTGAAGAAGTAGCCACGGATTGTAAGGCCGATGAACGGGTCGTGTGGTAACCGCCAGTCTTCAAGGTGGTGCTGATGGCAAGGGGGAGACGGGACATCTACGGGAGATGGACTGGACACAGACTCCACCAGTCGCCCCGTGAACAAATACTGTCGCCACAGCTCTGCTGCCGCGTTGTGGACATCTTCAGCGTGACGAGGATCTAAAGACAGAAATATTGCCATATTACCATTGTGTACAAAGTACATGGATTATTACATAAAGGTATATAGCAACTACGAAGATGCATGGAAACATAAGTGTAAAATGTAAAAGGGAAAACAAAGTAGGAACAATTTAGGAAAAGTATCAAATAAAGCGATTATTGTGTTAAAATATAACAATAGAATTATGCCGGCTTGCTTAAGACGTTCGGAGATCACGGCCAATATGTAGATTACAAAACAAACAAACTACACGTAGTCTTTATATTTGTATTTCGTCCAAAAAGCCTGATCTAATTTGTTTGTTAACAGGGTCGAATGTGAGATCGCTAAAAGGGAGTCTGTGTCACACATTTAATCATAAATTTAAGACTGACGTGCACGACTAAGTTAAGTTAAACCAAGTATAAGCCTTCTTTAAAAGGTCCCCGCCCAGATAATTCACTAAACTAAGTACATTGAGACTGACAAGACAACATGGGGTTACTTACCGAACTCCATGTTCAGCAAGGTAATGGAAACCGATGTCCAAAGCAACACTTGAACTTATATTTTGGATCAAATCTCTCCAAAAACAGCCGTGAAGAGAAAACACGTCTCGTCTCTGTAAAGCGCAAGACTTTATGTGACGTTTCCTTTCTGTGACGTCACACGTTTATGACGTCATGTGTCTGTGATGTCAGAACAGAATAGCTCTATAAACTGGTTGCCGGCTCTCTCTGCGCGTCTACTTGTATACTTTCTTTTGATCGGCATTTTACAATTTATAAATTGTAGATGACAAAAAAGACAGTTATAAATCTGATCGATGCTTAAATTGGGGTGAGTGAGTGAATTTCAATCTTGAACAGTATAAATATCACGGCGTGTCAGCTAGATGTGGGAGGACAGGTCTTGTCTTAGACACAGGATTGAGTAGATATTACAACAGGACGACAGTAACACAGACGCCAGAATGAGTAGATATTACAACAGGACGACAGTAACACAGACGCCAGAATGAGTAGATATTACAACAGGACGACAGTAACACAGATGCCAGAATGAGTAGATATTACAACAAGACGACAGTTACACAGACGCCAGAATGAGTAGATATTACAACAGGACGACAGTAACACAGACGCCAGAATGAGTAGACATTACAACAGGACGAAAGTAACACAGACGCCAGAACGAGTAGATATTACAACAGGACGACAGTAACACAGACGCCAGAACGAGAAGATATTACAACAGGACGACAGTAACACAGACGCCAGAATGAGTAGATATTACAACAGGACGACAGTAACACAGACGCCAGAATGAGTAGACATTACAACAGGACGAAAGTAACACAGACGCCAGAACGAGTAGATATTACAACAGGACGACAGTAACACAGACGCCAGAACGAGTAGATATTACAACAGGACGACAGTAACACAGACGCCAGAATGAGTAGATATTACAACAGGACGACAGTAACACAGACGCCAGAACGAGTAGATATTACAACAGGACGACAGTAACACAGACGCCAGAATGAGTAGATATTACAACAGGACGACATTAACACAGACGCCAGAATGAGTAGATATTACAACAGGACGACAGTAACACAGACGCCAGAATGAGTAGAAATTACAATAGGACAACAGGGACATCGGAAGGAGTAGACATTACAATAGGACGACAGTTACATCGGAAGGAGTAGACATTACAATAGGACGACAGTTACATCGGAAATAGTAGACATTACAATAGGACAACAGTTACATCGGAAGGAGTAGACATTACAATAGGACAACAGTTACATCGGAAATAGTAGACATTACAATAGGACAACAGTTACATCGGAAGGAGTAGATATTACAATAGGACAACAGTTACATCGGAAGGAGTAGATATTACAACAGGACGACAGTAACACAGACGCCAGATTGAGTAGATATTACAAAAGGACAACAGTTACACCAGAATGAGTAGACATTACAATAGGACAACAGTTACATCGGAAGGAGTAGACATTACAATAGGACAACAGTTACATCGGAAGGAGTAGATATTACAATATGACAACAGTTATACCGGAAGGAGTAGACATTAAAGTAGGACAACAGTTACATCGGAAGGAGTAGATATTACAATAGGACAACAGTTACATCGGAAGGAGTAGACATTACAATAGGACAACAGTTATATCGGAAATAGTAGACATTACAATAGGACAACAGTTACATCGGAAATAGTAGACATTACAATAGGACAACAGTTACATCGGAAGGAGTAGATATTACAATAGGACAACAATTACATCGGAAGGAGTAGATATTACAACAGGACAACAGTAACACAGACGCCAGAATGAGTAGATATTACAATAGGACAACAGTTACATCGGAAGGAGTAGATATGACAATAGGACAACAGTTACATAGGAAGGAGTAGACATTACAATAGGACGACAGTTACATCGGAAATAGTAGACATTACAATAGGACAACAGTAACACAGACGCCAGAATGAGTAGATATTACAATAGGACAACAGTTACACCAGAATGAGTAGACATTTAAATAGGACAACAGTTACATCGGAAGGAGTAGATATTACAATAGGACAACAGTTACATCGGAAGGAGTAGACATTACAATAGGACAACAGTTACATCGGAAGGAGTAGATATTACAATAGGACAACAGTTACATCGGAAGGAGTAGACATTACAATAGGACGACAGTTACATCGGAAGGAGTAGACATTAAAATAGGACAACAGTTACATCGGAAGGAGTAGATATTACAACAGGACGCCAGTAACACAGACGCCAGAATGAGTAGATATTACAATAGGACAACAGTTACACCAGAATGAGTAGACATTACAATAGGACAACAGTTACATCGGAAGGAGTAGATATTACAATAGGACAACAGTTACATCGGAAGGAGTAGACATTACAATAGGACAACAGTTACATCGGAAGGAGTAGATATTACAATAGGACAACAGTTACATCGGAAGGAGTAGACATTACAATAGGACGACAGTTACATCGGAAGGAGTAGACATTAAAATAGGACAACAGTTACATCGGAAGGAGTAGATATTACAACAGGACGCCAGTAACACAGACGCCAGAATGAGTAGATATTACAATAGGACAACAGTTACACCAGAATGAGTAGACATTACAATAGGACAACAGTTACATCGGAAGGAGTAGATATTACAATAGGACAACAGTTACATCGGAAGGAGTAGACATTACAATATGACAACAGTTACATCGGAAATAGTAGACATTACAATAGGACAACAGTTACATCGGAAGGAGTAGATATTACAATAGGACAACAGTTACATCGGAAGGAGTAGATATTACAACAGGACGACAGTAACACAGACGCCAGAATGAGTAGATATTACAATAGGACAACAGTTACACCAGAATGAGTAGACATTACAATAGGACAACAGTTACATCGGAAGGAGTAGACATTTAAATAGGACAACAGTTACATCGGAAGGAGTAGATATTACAATATGACAACAGTTATATCGGAAGGAGTAGACATTAAAATAGGACAACAGTTACATCGGAAGGAGTAGATATTACAATAGGACAACAGTTACATCGGAAGGAGTAGACATTACAATAGGACGACAGTTACATCGGAAATAGTAGACATTACAATAGGACAACAGTTACATCGGAAGGAGTAGATATTACAATAGGACAAGTTACATCGGAAGGAGTAGATATTACAACAGGACGACAGTAACACAGACGCCAGAATGAGTAGATATTACAATAGGACAACAGTTACACCAGAATGAGTAGACATTACAATAGGACAACAGTTACATCGGAAGGAGTAGACATTTAAATAGGACAACAGTTACATCGGAAGGAGTAGATATTACAATAGGACAACAGTTACATCGGAAGGAGTAGACATTACAATAGGACAACAGTTACATCGGAAGGAGTAGATATTACAATAGGACAACAGTTACATCGGAAGGAGTAGACATTACAATAGGACGACAGTTACATCGGAAGGAGTAGATATTACAATAGGACAACAGTTACATCGGAAGGAGTAGACATTACAATAGGAGAACAGTTACATCGGAAGGAGTAGACATTACAATAGGACGACAGTTACATCGGAAATAGTAGACATTACAATAGGACAACAGTTATATCGGAAGAAGTAGACATTACAATAGGACAACAGTTACACCAGAATGAGTAGATATTACAATAGGACGACAGTTACACCAGAATGAGAAGACATTATTAAAGGGCAACAGTTACATCGCAAAGAGTAGATATTACAATTGGACGACAGTTACACCAGAATGAGTAGACATTACTATAGGACAATAATTACATCGGAAAGAGTAGATATTACAATAGGACGACATTTACATCGGAATGAGTAGACATAACAATAGGACAACAGTTGCATCGGAAGGAGTAGATATTACAATAGGACGACATTTACATCGGAATGAGTAGACATTAAAATAGGACAACAGTTACATCGGAAGGAGTAGATATTACAATAGAACAATAGTTACATTGGAAACAGTAGATATTAAAATAGGACAACAGTTACATCGGAAGGAGTAAACATTACAATAGTACAACAGTTACATCGGAAGAAGTAGATATTACAATAGGACGACAGTTACATCGGAAGGAGTACATATTACAAAAGGACGACAGTTACATCGGAAATAGTAGACATTAAAATAGGACAACATTTACATCGGAATGAGTAGACATTACTATAGGACAACAGTTACATCGGATAGAGTAGATATTACAATAGGACGACAGTTACATCGGAAGGAGTAGATATTACAGTAGGACAACAGTTACATCGGAAGGAGTAAACATTACAATAGTACAACAGTTACATCGGAAGAAGTAGATATTACAATAGGACGACAGTTACATCGGAAGGAGTACATATTACAAAAGGACGACAGTTACATCGGAAATAGTAGACATTAAAATAGGACAACAGTTACATCGGAAGTAGATATTACAGTAGGACGACAGTTACACCAGATTGAGTAGACATTACAATAGGACAACAGTTACATCGGAAAGAGTAGATATTACAATAGGACGACATTTACACCAGAATGAGTAGACATTACAATAGGACGACAGTTACTCAGAATGAGTAGACATTAAAATAGAACAATAGAGCTTTGTCAGCTTCTACCCTTTGTTATTTTCCACCTTTTGTTATCTTATCAATTGTGTTGTCCTTATATGTTCATATATATGCTCTCTGCCTCATGGCATTCATTCACCTGATGAAGGAGTAAGCATATACTCCGAAACGTTGTGGTCCTCATAATAAAGAAGTTGACAGTCATATATTCTCTTCCTTATGTGTATCACTTCTACATACAGGGGCAATTGAGTTCGGGCCCCTTCAACACCTCGGCTGATCGTGAGGTAACTCCACATGGCCCTTCAGTGTAATTGATGGCGCACCTCACATCACAGCCATTCTGTGCAATATTTTAGCATTCCTGTTGAAATAATTATTGGCCTCAAATACCGGCTCTTTGAAACTCTTTCGCTAAATGAGAGAGACGAGTTTATAGAACGGTTGCCATA